TTGTTCAAATCATGGCCCCCGGGGTAGGGTGGGGCCACAATAGGGAATCAAAGTTTTACATTGAATTATATAGGCAAAATCTTTAAAAATGTTCTTCTCAAGAACCACGTAGCCAGAAAAGCTGAAACTTATGTGGAAGCATCCTTGGGTAGTGTAGATTCTTAATTGTTCAAATTATGTCCCATGGGGAAAGGGCAGGGCCGCAATAAGTATTACAAGGGGGGGTCTAGTGAAGAACAGCAGGGCCAAAGGTACTCAGGTGAGCGCTGTGGCCCATGGGCCTCTTGTTTAAAAATCATGATATATCACGATAAAAAAATTTTGGTGATACCCATCCCTATAATAAATTACAGAAATTTCTGATAAGTGACTTATAAGTGATTTATTTGTTTATTCTGGAGTTATACTTCACTGATACATTTAACTTATAAGTGACTGAGAGGTGACTCATTAGGGTTTTATATGCAAATGAGATGCTTGACCTATTAGCAACTTATAAACCAAGTATTAGCCATTTTTGCTTATAAATGCAAGTACATGTATATTCACTTATAAGTCATGTCTTATAGTACACTTACAAGTGAATTTCAAAACTTTTAGCTGACTTATAAGTTGCTTATAATGGCTTATAAAAGACTTATAAGTATCTATTGTTTTTTTCTCTGTAAGGATATATGTAACTGTATAGGTTAAAAGATGAAACAGTAGTTTCATTTATGAGACTTTTAGTGTAATAACACTATTGAACATGGTTTTGAAAATTCAAATAATATTTAAAGTTTTAACATAGAGTAATATGTCATGGAAAAAGGAAACCACACTTATAGCAAAGTGCAAAGGACTATCAATTTGAATTTATTATATTTTGTTGTATATAATATATAATTTGTTAAGTTCATAATATATAGTTGGTGTATGTTTTAAAAGTGCAGGAATGACAATCCCTTTGCTGTAAAGCATGAATTTATAATAAGTGCATTTACCGAAGCCATGCTTTACTGTGTTTCATACCCAGTTAGTTTAATCAATTAGTGTTGTCTGTTGGTGCTTGTGAGGAACTTGTTTGGTTGTGCTAGACTTGTAGTTGATGAAGAGTGACTACAAGATTAGAGCAAATATTAAAAGTTGCAATACAAAAAAGCTTGTTTTCACTGGGACTCAGAGAATTCACTAAAACAAATACCACATTAACATGATTAAGTTAAACCCATATAGACAAGCCTGTCCAACCCAGCTGGGAGAGTTCCGTAAAATCCTTGAAGAAAATGATCTCAAGAAAAATAGACTCTTAAGTGTTCAATATGGCATATATACTTGCCAGTGATATTTCTTTAGTGGAGTAGATTACTGATATGGTCACTGTGAGAGTGAGCGTACTTTGACATCAATTTAAACTTCGAACATTAGATGACGTCACTGTATAATACTTCTTAGGATCCCCAAAGTAATATCTTGTGTGTGAAAAAAGGACTTTGGCGTGCAAATCCAGTCTATATATGAAATTTGGAAAACTCAAGAAGTCCCATAGAAAACTTGAAGTGCTTGAGGGTTTGCGGAAGCTGAAGTCATTATGAGGATACACTAGTGTTTATAGGTGAACATTGTACTGTGGCTTACTGGAGGTAGTGGTAGCAGCTCTAGGCAGACTTTTCCCAGAAACTTACGTAGACTTTCTGAATAGAGCATGGAGAGATTACAGGAACTCGATAGAGATGAGCCACAGTTGGGACAGACTGAAGTTAAATACGCATGCATGTGTTGAAGTACTATTGACTATCACTACACATCAGTACCATACATTATAGCACTTTGAACTGCAAGGCAAGCAACAGAAGAAACTCTCATAATAGTTTTCACATGATGATGGATGAACATTTGCTCATTAAGTTTTAAGCTGATATATTTACTTACCATCGGTGTGATTTCTTTGTTAGTACTGAACAAGTTGTGACATTTTATATCAAAAACACCATTCTATCAAACAACAAGGACAATGGACCATTTTCTACACAGTGCTTGTTATCGGAGGTTTGATCACATAGCTTTATCTTCTGATATTATATTCGTTCTTACATAACATGCCTATCGCAATTATGGATGCAAAATATGTAGACAAAAATGAACTCCTCATTCTCTGCTTTTGTCATGTAAGCACTACAAAGAAAAACACAAAATGACAAATAAGAGTTTATGGAAGTGGCAGAATTCTTACCTTCAATTTGTACAAGCATAGTGAAGTGCTACCAGAATTTTTAGTTTAACAATTATTTTAACAAAATGTCTTCATCAATTTAATGAGAAAAAAAAATGAGGATAATTGGAAATCAACTATATCCAATTCATGTCAATGGAAAAAACGCAGAGGAGTGTTTTGAAATAAAATCTTGTACAAGGAAACTGGGAATGCTAAAAAGATATGACAATTATTGATGATTGTGATGTTATTTTTTCCTTGTTTATTACGTTTTGCACATAGTTAATGTAAAATTGAAATTATTTCTGCATTTTAAAATTTTTGGCCTATTCAATTCTGAGAAAACTTTATTTCATGTTTGAAAATGTTTATCACTTGAAATAACCAATTAAGGTTCCAAATCCAAAACCATAACCAATTAAGGTTCCAAATCCAAAACCATATGATCTGTACCTGTTATTCATTTAACAATATACCGTAATCAGATAACATTTATTTTTATTAACATTATGCAGCTATATGTTAACATTATGCAGCTATTATATAACATTATTTTTTTCTTTAAGGGAGCTAAAAGGTACAAATACTGTAGAATCATCATTGTACATGGTGACCAATGATTGTGGACTTCATTGTTACTCTTACCCATAGATTTATATTCTTATGGACAATAAATTTTTAAACATATTCATTGATTATTCTGCTAAATATATGATTTTCCCATAAATCAACGTCAACAAGAACTGATAAAAAATTACCTGTAAAAAAAAAAACGTTACCTATGAATTCAAATGATTTTACAGTAATTGTAACTACATTTAGTCATGTATTTACATTTTCAATTGTTCTGCTATTGTAGTTTTTTATTTATTATTCATGTTTGTGCAGTTCTTGTCTTCAAAATAAATGCTAGAAAAAGATATTAAAATTAAGCAACACCTTTCAGTGAACTTGGCATTAAGAATTGCATTTGCCTGCTGGCTATATTCCATGATATGCTGACAGAGGCACCTGACGAATGGATGGTGTAAACCCAGTAAACCCCACCCCTAGCTTCTGAGAATTATTATTAGACACAAAAACGTGTAAATACACAGGGTGTCCTGCTTCAATGGAGATTTTCAATTTTAATACAACATAACCAATGAAATTTATGCAAGATGTAGTTCAGGGAGATGTTTTACAAGCCTCTTACAGTCATGCCTGGTCAAAATGATTTATTTGCCCCAAATTTGCATAAGAGGCATGTAAAACAACATCTCTCTGAGCTTTCTGATCACTCGTTGTCCATCGTCCGTCTGTAACCCTTCAATTTCTTCTGAAGAACCACTGGGCCAATTTTAGCCAAAATTGGTACAAAGCATCCTTGGGTAAAGGGGAATTTAAATTGTTAAAATGGAGGATCAAGCCCCTTTCCAAGGAGAGATAATCAAGAAAAGACAAAAATAGGGTAGGGTCATAAAAAATCTTCTGCTCAAGAACCACTGGACCAAAAAAGCTGAAAGTTATGTGGAAGCATTCTGTGGTAGTGTAGATTCTAAATTGTTAAAATCATGTCCCGCAGGGGTAGGTTGGGGCCACAATAGGGAATCCAATCATTACATGGAAATATGTAGAAAAAATCTTCTCAAAAATCACTGGGCCTGAAAAGCTGAAACAAATTTCGAAGCATCCTAAAGAAGTGTGGATTCTAAATTGTTCAAATCATGACCCCCAGGGGAAGGGCAGGTCCACAATAGGGAATCAAATTTTTACATTGAGATGTAGGATAAAATCTGAATGATCCCCATGCTTGGGGTGGGGCCGCATTAGGGAATCAAATTTTTACATTGAAATATGTAGGAAAAATCTTCTTCTCAAGAACCACTGGGCCAGAAAAGCTGAAACTTATGTGGAAGCATTCTGGGATAATGTATATAGAATCATGACCCCCGGGGGTAGGGTGGGGCCACAATAGGGAATCAACATTTTATATTGAAGTATATAGAAAAAAAATTCTTTACAAATCTTCTCAAGAACCCCTGGGCTAGAAAAGCTGAATCTTATGTGGATCGAAACATCCTTAAGTAGTGTAGATTCTGAATTGTTCAAATCATGACCCACGGGGTAGGGCGGTGCTACACTAGGAAATCCAATTTTTAAATTAAAATACATAGGAAAAATCTTTTAAGATCTTTTTCTCAAACACCACTGGGCCAGAAAAGATGAAACTTTTGTGGAAGCAGCCTGGAGTAGTGTAGATTCTATGTTGTTCAAATCATGACTCCCAGGGGTAGGGAGGCAAAATGTATATTTTACATTAAAATATATAGGAAAATCTTTTGAAATCTTCTTTTCAAGAATCACTGGGCCTGAAAAGCTGAAACTTAAGTGGAAGCATCATTGGATAGTGTAGATTATAAATTGTTCAAATCATGACCCCCGGGGGTAGGGCCACAATAGGTATTACAAGAGGGAAATCAGGTGAAGAACAGCAGGGCCAAAATTACTAAGGTGAGCATTGTGGCCCATGGGCCTCTTGTTTCTTAATACCTTTAGTATTTTTATATACTATACAAGGCCAAGCTTTAAAACTTCAAAAAAGCGGAAAATGATATCAGATATCAAAATATAGTATAGAAATGAAAGACTAGAAATTCATGTAATTTTAATAAGTTTTTGTGTCTAATGAAAATTAGGGGGGAGGGGGGTTTACACCATCCATTCGTCAGGTGCCTGTGATGCTGATGCACATCATGGAATTTGCCAGCAGTGCAATTGCAATTCTTAATGCCAAGTTCACTGAAAGGTGTTGTTAATTTTTTAGGAAAGGGTTTATATGCTGAGAAGGCTTATCAGCAAGGAGAGTTTATTCTGGAGTACGCAGGGGACCTCATCAGTCGCAAAGAGGGGATCAGGCGTGAGAATTCTTACCCCGCCAGTAAAGGAAGTTATATATACTTTTTTGTCTGGGACAGCAAGAAGTACTGGTAAGTACAGTCTGATTAAAAACAGCCCCCTTCTCCTTTCACTCGATGAGTGAAAGGTGAAACTCTCCTTTCACTCGATGAGTGAAAGAAGGGGGCTGGTTTTAATCAGACTGTGGGAAGTACTGTAGTTTTAAGCATTATGAGTGTTTTCTGTATAGTTAAAGCTTTCTTGAATAATGCCAGGACATCGAGGTTCCCATGCTGCAGTAGGTGCATGCTAGCACAAAAAAGGTTCCTCACTTCTCTAAATTTTCAGACCTCCACTGGGCAAGTGGAGGCTTCTAATTATGAGCAAAACAAATCTTGAAGAGACATAAAAATAAAAGCAAACAAAAAAACTCCTTAAGAATGAAATGACCTCTATTGACTTTTCAGTCATAAATTCAAAGTCAAGGGCCAAACAACATATATACTGTAAAATCATATATTTTGGGGGGTCAAATTTGTAAGGCTTGAGGAAAAAAATATTAGTTAGGGGGGTTTTATTTCACGGTTGTAGAAATATTAAACATCTATATACATTAAATTTTACTTTTCAAAGTGGACATGAATCTGTGTGTTTCTTCATACCTCAAAACATTTTACAAAAATAAAACCCCCTGCCAAAATTTGTGATTTCACAGTACTAGGCAAAGGAAGGTATTGATTGCTCAATATCTTAGTTCTTAAGATTCCTTTCTGTGAGGGACATCAATACACTGGTTTCACTAGGGAATACAGCAAAAAATCTCATTTGTATTCAAGACACCAAATTTAGAACAAGGGCTGGTATATTTTTTTATTGACATAAAATGCACATAATGATATAATTTAAAAAAATGACTTGTTTTAAATTAACAGTCTGGATGCAACGGAATCATCTAGAAGAGGCAGATTTGCCAATGATGCAGGGCCTGATGATGTTCGTCAGAATGCCACAATGAAATGTTTATCCAGTAAAGGAAAACCTCATTTAGCTCTTTTTGCAAAAAGAAAAATAAAAATTGGAGAAGAGTTAAGATATGATTATGGTGTGCCAGATCTTCCTTGGAGGAAGCAGGTATTTTTTCCTCAACTTCTTGCAACTGAATGCAGCTGTAATTATTTTTGTATATTTCAACTTAAGTAAAAGGGAAAAAAGTAAGCACTTCTTATTATACCCCCACTCCGAATGAGAGGGGATATATTATTGAAATATATAGGAAAAATCTTTAAAAACCTTCTTCTCAAGAACCACTGAGCCAGAAAAGCTGAAACTTATGTGGAAGCATCCTCAAGTAGTGTACATCCACTCTAAGTTGTTCAAATCATAACCCCTGGGGGTAGAGCAGGGCTACAATAGGGAATACAAGTTTTACATTGAAATATATAGGAAAAATCTTTGAAAATCTTCTCAAGAACCACTGGGCCAGAAAAGCTGAAACTTATGTGGAAGCATCCGGGGGTAGTGTAGATTCTAAATTGTTCAAATCATGACCCCCGGGGGTAGGGCGGGGCCATAATAGGTATTACAAAGGGGGAAGTCTGGTAATGAACAGCATGGCCAAAGTTACTCAGGTGAGCGATGTGGCCCATGGGCCTCTTGTTCAAATTTCCGTCACAGTTTTCTCAGCAGCTGCTCAGCTTATTGCAGATGCTTAAAATGTGAGCACAGTTTTTGTTTAGGCATGCCATATGGACACATGATGGGGGGATTCATTTTTGTTCAAATCCAGTGTCTACTTAGTGTTTATTATGTGTCGGTATCAAATTTCCGTCACAGTTTTCTCAGCAACTACTCACCGCAGATGCTTGAGATTTTAGCACAATCTTTCTTAAGGCATGTCATATGGTGGGATTCATTTTTGTATGAATTCGTTATCAACATTAGAGAGTATATTCACATCAGAGTGGGGTATTACTAATGAGCATTGGCTTACAGAACTAGACTTCTTGTTATTCATGCAAGTCAATTTAACCTGTCACAAACACATTGTAACTTAGTCCAACATCTCATCAGTTTTTCTCAAAATGTTGAATGCTGGCTAGCTAATTCATATAACTTCTATAAAAATCAAAAAAGAGTTGAAATATGCATTAGAATGTTATGCTTTCCCAGTAAATATCATTAAGGGGCTATAAATGTGAAATTGTATAACTGTGGAATGTACAACATAGTCTATAATCAATCAACTGTTTTAAAGTCTTTATAACATTACTGTACTCTACATATTGTAACAGTCGTTCTCTTCTCTTCTTTGAGACCATTTCTCTAGGGTTTATCTTATCTTTCATGACAAGGCTTGCATTACACAGCTCAACCTGAGCTCAGGAAGGCTTGTATAGCACAGTGGTTCAAAATAGGAGTTGATCCTTATGTCCCGGGTTCAAATCCACTGTGGGACGAAGTAACCGATCATATAAACGAAGGTCTCATGTCGAGTAGGTATTGGCACAAAAAGATCCCTCACTGTTCAATGGCCCTGAGTGCTGAGTAAATATAGATTAAAATTTGTAGTCATCCACCGGTAGTGGCATGCATCTCCATATGAGTAAAATTTCTTGAGAGGGACATTATACAACAAACAAAAGAAAATTCAAAACACTTAAATTCTTATTTCTCAACAGTAAGTTATCTCCGTTTAATCACAAGCCTCAGATATCTCACCACTGCCCCAAACCTATTCCTCCTATTATTAACCCACTCTCTCTTTGTTACACTTAATTTATTAATACCGTATTTGGCCGAATATAATACGCATTGGTGTAAAATACGCACCCCCCTTTTTGAGCCTGAAACTGGGGGAAAAATGCAGTTCGGTTGTATTATACGCAGCAGAAAATTTTACCAAGCGGTGTTCTGAACTTTTGAAAATCTCGGTAATTTGCTAATAATCACAGTTTATTCAAGTAGTTCAATAAAGTAACATTCAATTATCGAAGAATAAAAATTCATGAAAGAATATTACTTAACCAATACCAAAACATAACGTAATAACTATGTGCAGTTTTGTGTATGACCTTGTGTCATCACTAGCTGCACGGACTATCATGATCTCTGTACTGTTGATTACCTGTATTGTGTGCGCTCAAGCTGAAAGGGGTTTCTCGTGGTGACTGTATATTTCACCTCTTTGTGTAAAACAATGGGCTTGGATAGAGTCTCACTTATGAAAGATATTGTTAAAATGGCACTTCTAAATTTTTTTTTTTTTTGATAAGGCAGGGGGGTTTTCCCGAACCCCCCCAAACCCCCCTGAATACGCCACTGCGAGGCCGATATAAGATAAAGTAAAATTACATTTAACAAGCGTTTAACTGTTTAATGTGTCGTAATCACATACGAAAGATCATAAACCAACCCCCGATTTTTAACAAAGAAAATAATCAAAGCCATTAATAAGGGCAATAAATAATCAGTGCTTTAACTGTAAAAACAATGCTTTGGAGTTGGTAAACAATTTAATTGCCTGGAGGGGTGTTGAGGGGTAATTATCAAGTGACAAGCGCACGTGTTCACAACATGGCTTCCATTCATTGGGACATATAGAGGGGTGTTTATGTTGAAATGAATTTTCACTGAGTTATTTAAAACCTAAAATAAATTTTATTTTATTGTATTTCATTAAAAAATGACTTATTACTTTTTTGACCGGTGTCTGACTGATTAGGTACAAGTGTACTATGATTACGGAAGCATGTGGCAAAGGAATGTGTGAACATCTATAAATAACATCGTTAATGGCGGCCTACACGGAAACGATGAACATGCAGCTCAAATTAATTTTAACTTGCTTTTAAATTTAATTTAACTATCAAAAGGTTATAAATATAACATTTTTAACAAGCCTACATTTCAACAATAACTTTCCGAAGTTTTAAATACGGCGATAAACTGCAAGAAATTGCACAAGTCTCTAGGTAATACTACAGTATGTGCGTATGATAGCCGTGTTTCACATGAAAGAAAAACCTATCAAAATCCCATTGTGGTGTAAAATGCGCACCCCTTCCTCACAGAAAATTATTTTGGGAAAAAAGTGCGTATTCAGCCAAATACGGTACACAAAATCTCCCAGCTTTTCTTCTCAATTTAACAAGCATTACAACTCAAGCTTGAGGATTAAGTCACTAAAATTCTGTAAATACTCAGATTCTTCTTACTCAGGTTTTAATCTCTCCTATCCCGCATTCCCAAATCTTGTTGTAAAACTTCTCCTTTAGGAAAAGCTTGTAAATCTCTATGTTTTAAATGAATCAAAAAACCTGATACCAAATGTGAAAGTTGAAATGCTCAGATGAGCATTTTTTGCTCATGTGAGGAATTATTTTGCTCACCTAGAATTTTGCTCATAAGTCTCATGTGCAACAGTTGCTCACTTGATCAAACAACACCAAAATAAAATTTAGATTACAAATATAATATATACTACATATTTTAAAATATGATTCATCTAATATTACACATTTAAAATATTCTTGAGCAACATGTAAATACAACCATAATTGTTCAGTGAACTTCATTTTTCAAACTTAAAATTCACCTAAATTTAAAATTAAATAAAAATTAAATTAAATGAACAACTAGTATATACTACATTAAACACATTTCTCTGTATTAATATTAATTATACATGTACATTATACACACTATTGTATAAATTATTAAAAAATTAGGTTTCTATTAGATTTACAGAACATCTAATGTAAATGTCCAGTCAACAGTTTTGGACTGCACTAGATGGATTAAAGTTGTCTCTGATATGTCAGGCTATGTAGATTTTTTCTCACATTGCTGAATGCTTGGCAATAATAAAAATTCCAGCAGTCATAAGAATTATAATCTTTTCATCAAGTTCATTTTTCTTGCATTTCCTTTAAATGAGTGCCAACTTCAGAGCTCTACCTATATGTAGCAGACTAATCTGTAGATCCCGCAATCAGCAACTTCTATCTGCAAAAAAATTGAATTTATAATTATTATAGTTTTCATGATTCAGTTGGTCATGAAGTGCCAGTCAATAATTTATTTTAAAAAATCATATGCATCAATATTAAGCATGTTAAGCAACTTCTTTTGAAAGAATAGCTTATAATAGATTACTGCACTGAGCTGTACACTTTGACCTAATCTTACTTACGTTATAGTTCTTAAAAGAATCTATAGAGAAATTGCAATATATTAAGGAATGAATGATCCTATATTCAAAACTACCAGTATAAACATTAAGTACATTATCTAATGATGAAAATTCATGTTCATATATTATTAATACTGTAATTACTGATAACTAGGGCTGTGTATTGAGCAAAATATTTTGATACGATACGATACAATATTTTATAAAGCGATATGCAATATATTGGATTTTTTAACAAGTCTATTAAAAAAGTCTTGTAGCTCTTTCAATGCATAAATTTGATAAAAACTGGGTCTTTTATTACCAAATTGGAAGTTTATATCTCACTTTCTTTACCAATCTCTACCCAGAGTTATCGTTCCCGCTACGCTCCACTAATACCTCTGTCAACGTCTAAAAAGTAGTACGGAAAGCGGAGACGTGTGGCCTTTATCACAGGAAGATTAACAAGCGTATTACCAGGGACCTATATACTATTTAGGTCCCTGATATTACCTTCACTTTTCTGTATATGTGTCAATGCTGCAAGTTGTTTGTCTTTAAAAACTAAATCATGTTGATATTTGTCAGCAATGCATTTTAAATTTTCCACCTTCTCCATAACTGTCTACATGAGTGATGCAATATCCCACCGAGAAATAATCCCTTGTAAGATACGGTGATACAGATATATCTCTTTCTAATTTTCATACATAAACTTTTCTTTAAATTTTAAAGTTAAAATATATAACTTTAAAATTTATAATTTGTTATGCAATAAGTCAGAGTAAGTTTTGCCAAGAATCTTGGCATTTAGACGTTGACAGAGGTGTTGTAGCGAGGCATAATATGCCCTCTGGTAAGAGATTGTTTCTTTACAAAGTAAACTTCGAATTCAAACTTTTAATGACTGAAAAACTAACATGTAAAAATATAGTTGTCTATGTATTTTGTAATAGTT